CCCCCCCACTCTGTCCGGCACACACTGACACTAAGGTTTTAACTTTACGTTACCATTTTTTTCCAGTGCAAACACATGGTGGGATGAAAAGAGCCATGACTGGATCAACCATCATGCAGCAAGCAGAGTGAGACTCTTCATGTGGAGGAACATGCCAACAGCTACGCAAAAGAAATCCAGTCAATTTGAGAAGTGGAGGAGAAGACCAATCAAAGAAAGGGAGGTGAGGTCAGGTGATCAGAAGCAGACGTGTGCGGCACAAGCAATGAGGGTGTTTGTCCAGGTGGGGGCGCATGAAATGAAGCGTGGTGTAGACAGACAGAAGTGGGCCGCGGCCCAGTCTCACCATGGCACCGATGCTGTACGTGGCTGCAGGAGTGAGCGTGTGGTTGTAGGGGTCGGCGGCGTACACTCGTCCATAACTGTGAAAACACAGGTCACATGACAGAGGACGGTCAACATCCTGACACTCACAGAGTCACGGTTACATGTCAATCAACCATGATCGGAATTAATTAATTAATCGTGATGAACAATTAACTTTGATTCGTTGAAATAATTCAACATTTTTCTAAATATGACCAAAACAAATATTGCAGGAACAGAAAGACAGAAAAAAACAGGTAGATGTCAGTTCATTCATTATTTTTTTAATAATTAATATGAAAAACCAAACTGATAATGTTGATAACACACAGTATTATTGGACTTTTTAAATTTTTTAAAACCCGTCTTAGAAGAAAACAGGACTGAAAAAAAAAAAAAAAATCTCCCGTCAGTCAGAGCTCCGTGAACGTCGTCCTTGAAATTCCCTCCTTTTAAAGATTTATAAACATAAAAAATGAATATGAAATTCAAATGAAATATGCAGTAAATGATCCCAGAGGAACACGACGGGGAACACTCTCTGTATGTGACGTTATTCTCTGACAGCTGAAGATTCTGTCGCTGAGATTCGGTGTCAAATATCCCACGTACCCACACTGGTCCACGGACCAGGGGTTGGGGATACCTGCTGTAAATGAGGTGGGCTTCAGTCCTTACCTGTCACTGTATACAGCAGCTGTGGCAGCGGAGGGCTGGGTGTATCTGTAGGCTGCATAACTACCCTACACACACACACACACACACACACACACACACACACAGATTAACATTTTAATTTTGATCATTTTTATTTACATACATTAAAAATGTTGTAGTTGTTTTTGTCTGTGACAAAGAAAAACACCCGTTCTACTGCAGTGTTTGCTGTTCAAATGTTACTGCGCGCGTGTGTGCGTGTGTGTGTGTGTGTGTGCAGCAGCAGTGTGTGTACTGATACTCACATAGATATCTGCACCGTAGAGTCCGTCCTGATAAACAACGCTGCAGAGAGGAGCAAACACACACACACAAACACACACACACACACACAGACACACACACACACACACAGACAGGGTGTAACTCAACAGCTCTTTGGTAATTGGTTTGATTCTCTGCTCATGGGCAGCAGACCAGAACTCCAACCAAACTGGGGTTGGTGGAAAAACCAACCCCAGACAAACTGACTCCAACCAAACTGGGGTTGGTGGAAAGACCAACCCCAGATTTGTCGCCCCCTACAGACCAACCGCACCACGACAGGCCACAGAGTGTGTGTTTATTTCTCTTTGGTCTGTCACGGGTCTGTTATTAACTTTTTGCTAATTTCCGATACGTCGATATCGTCCAAACACTTACGTCATGATTCCGATATCAACCGATAACGATGTAAGCCCCAAAACTGCAGTAAACATCACAGTATCCAACAGAAGATTCCAGCATGTTTGGCGAAACCCAAATATTGCATTATCGGGTTTTTCGCTATCGGAGGTAAAATCGTTAACGATTCTTCCAGCGGGTTTTTCGCTATCGGAGGTAAAATCGATAACGATTCTTCCAGATAGTGATGCTAATATCGAGCTAACAGCGGCAGAACATCCCTACTCACATCATATTGTATTATATTTAGTCTCTCACCCTCCGTAGGCTGGGATGTGTGGGGGAGGGGCGGCTGCTCTGAACGTGTTGTATACGCTCCGTCCTCGACCTCGTAGGTGGGCTCCTCTGTACGCCGCTGCTGCTGCACTGGCTGCTGGGTAAGGGAAACCTGGTACTGGAGACACAGGAAAGAAACATCGTCAAAGGCCAACGCGGTTATAAGGAAAAACAAACAGCACCCCTGAAGGCTCGGAGTGGACCACCACAGGTACAGGTACCATAGTTTAAGAACCACTGCTTTACACCAGACTCTCGAAGGACGCCAATCACCAGGTGGAAAAGAGCGCCCTCTGCTGCTGCCTTGAAATGGTAGAATCCTGAATGTAAAGGTGGACCTCCAGAATCTGTTCTTTCTGATGATTTTTTTGGTGTTGAACATTTGGACTAATTTGATATAAATACACCTGACCTGACGCTGTACGACGTCCGACTGTCGGACTTCGGCCCTTCGGTTCTTCCGACTTCAGTCAGAACTTTGAAGTTCTACACCACTTCAGTCCTGTTGAATAAATCTGCCCTCACATCCTCACGTCTTTTATCTGCCCACACAGGTCACTCTCTGTCAGAATGAAAAATCACCCGCGTGTCATTATTCGGCCCGTGCAGCATAATCACCGCTGAACCTCCGGACGACCTTCCAAGAACGGCGCGGGGTCGGAGCCTTGGTAATGCGGAGAGTGATGCTGGCAGGCTCGGACACTGACTGTGTCTGTGTCACTGTGTTCTCCTACGTTAGCCTCAGTTTTGTGGGGGTGGGGGTGAGGGTGAGGGTGAGGGTGGGGGTGAGGGTGGGAGTGGGGGTGGGGGGGTTGTAAAAAGGTGTTGCTTCCAGTTCTTATCTGTAGTACCACATGTTAACTGGTCAAAACAGAAGTTCTCAGTTCAGCACACCATGGGTGGCACTTGGGCTCCCTCTTGTGGCCGCAGGTAAATCTGGTTCTTTTTAGAATCAGGTGATTTGTTTACGTCACATTTATATTTATGGAGTTACCAGATGCTTTCTTATCTGAAGAGCCGTTCAGGTGGGGGAGATGTCGTTCCCCCTGGGAATCGAACCCAGGACTCTCATCATGATTTTTTTTTTTGTCTACAAATTAGGTGTAGTTGTAGTCACTTGAAGTACTGGTTGTAGTCACTTGAAGTACTAGTTGTAATACTGGTAAGTTCGCTCACACACCCAGACCTTGTAGTTCTGGTAAGTTCGCTCACACTCCCAGAGGACACACTCAGGTGTGCGCGTTAGCGCCTCCTGCTACCGCGGCGTAATGATAGCGTTGCTGCAGCCCGTGCCTCTCTGCTCTTGTTCCCGGCCTCCATTTTTCATCAGGTGAATGAATGATTCACTGCTTTTATTAGCATTTTATTACATCTTCTTCTGGAGGACGTGTATAATTAGGCCTGGAAATAGAACCTTGATCTCCTCCTTAACCTTCACTCACCCTGACCCTCAGATACAGCTTCATGTCAGTGGGCACATTAAGATTGATGACCAGATGATTTCCCACCTCCACCCTCCTCGTCTGTACCACCCCGGCTGAACCACCGTGACTCAGCCTCGGCTTCGTTAAGACTTCGTCTCCTGATACGATGTCGCAAATAAATCTGACGTCGACTGGACCTGATGACGTTTCAGCATAATATCTGTTATCGGTATTTCTTCCGATAATAAAAAACCTGATAACGTAATGCATGGGTTTCGCCAAATGGTGAGAGACCTAAAAATAGTGTTCGGGGATAAACGGCTGTATATGAAAGAGAAAGCCACTAGATGGCAGCATCCCAGCTCATTTAAATAATCTATTTTAATATGTAGTATACATATACATTTTACCAGGCCTATATCGGAATCGGTTGATATCGCAATCGGAAAGTGTCTGGACAATATCGGCTTATCGGATATCGGCAAAAGGTAAAAAAAAAAAATCAGATATTGTACAGTCAGATTGAGGTTTTAGGGACATTTGCTAACCTTCTCCGTGACCTCAACGTTCGTAACCTGATGTTAACCATGTGACAGCGTTAACACATTAACACACGTTAACTGAAAGTCTTTCTCTTCATCGTTTTAAAAAAAAAAAAAATATATCGTTGTGCTCATAGTATCGCAATTTATCGTGACACGTATCACGTATCGCTAGATTTTTGGCCAGTCCACGCCATCAGTAAAAGTTTTTTCACAGTGCAACATCATACGTTATAATATTCTCTCCTCTCCTCTACTGACTTTTAATTGACCCCCCCCCCCCCTCCCCTCCCTCTCTCCCTCCTCTCCTCCCTCTTATCAGTTGTTCTCTTATCACAACACTCAGGTATTTTTCACTCTAATGGCTGTGGTTAACGACAGGCTGAGGGCGGTGACAGCAGGGATCACGGCAGACTCTACATTTACTCCACAGAGTTTGGACACAGTCGACGCTGAAGATCATGGTTTTAACTTCATCAACACCTGCTGCTGCTGCTGCTGCTGCTGCAGGAGGTGGTAACGGTTAACAGGGGGAACAAAGATGTCATGGGGGAAAGAAAAAAAAAAGAGAAGTGAAGAATGAGGAGCAGGAGGAGTGGAAAGATAACCAGGGAGGAGAAGGTGACGGATGAAGAAGGTCGCGTCCTCTTACCTGCATAGAGTTCTGGGCTGCAGACAGCACTGACCACTGGATTTAACTTCCAGCCTGAAAGGAGACGGTCAGCAAAAAAAAAAAAAAAAGTGAGTGACACAGAAGATGAGGGAAAGACGTTTTTTAGACGTGAACTTCACAAAAAAAAATATGATTTGATTTGACTGAACATAGTTGATCTTTTAAGGCGGTGTTTTTCAACCCTGGGGTCGGCACCCCATGTGGGGACGCCAGAAATGTCTAGTAATTGATTTTCAAAAATATAGATTTTCATTTAAAAATTATGATCAAAATCGTGCAACAACAACACTCGTATCAATATAAATCGAGTTCAAGCCAAAATGCAGCATATTAAAACATCTGAGGTGGCGCTGTTGCACATTGTTTTTGTATATATTCATTGTAGTTATAGTATTGAATGTAGTGAGTTGAGAGAGACAATAATAACGACCAAATCCAAATCCAAAAAAAAGTTTGAGAACCACTGCTGAGAGTTGAGGTGAAATTCTGCAGAATTGTCAGTTGTTGTTGCTGCTGCTGTTGCTGCTGTTGTTGCTGTTGCCGCAGCAGCAGAACACGGGGGACTCGTTCTCCGTCCCTCAGCTCTGGATGTGTCCTTACAACCTTCACTTTGTGAAGAAACGTCTCAGTGTTTCAGAGCTGCTGAATAAGCAGACTCTCAGGTCAGAGGCGGTGGGCGTGGCCTTACCGTTTGCATAGGGGTTGACTGTTTTCTTATTGGTCATGACCCGGGCCGTTGCGTTGTTGACCTAAAGCAGGAAGAAAAGAAAAACGAGGTTAACAATGTCACGTGACCCGACGTGAGGCTTTGGTTTTCAAACCTCATGCATCACTTTATCAAATGATGTCATGTGACCCGTGTGTTTGTTCAAGCTTGGAAACACATCGTGGTCATCATGTACTCTCTGTGTTATGATATTTCCCAGCATGCACTTCTCAAGTCAGCTAACATTTCCACGTCATACAGACAAACGTGAAGGAGAGCAACAGATGGAGGAGAGAAGGTGGAGGTGGAAGAACATCCACAGTCAGAAAATCAAAAGAAACATAAACAAACACAAACCAAAAACAACAACTTCCTGTTGATTTATTTATTAAATTAAAAATAATCACAGAAACCTCAGTGATCTAAATGGAGTTGGAGCGTTTACACCTCCTCCTCACCTGCTGTTGTTGATCCAACACATAAGATTTCATATCACTAAGTGTTGATCTGTGGTTGACTTAACTCAGGGCTTTTATTTTGAAAGGACGCTTTCAGGACGTTGTTCTGCAGAAGTAAAATAAACCACACGACTGCTGCTGCTGTGTTTTTACTTTTTCTGAAGTTTACGTTCCTACGTCACACCCGCCTTCCTTTTTTCCTCATTTTTTTTTTGCCTCCCTTGAATTGCTCTGGTGCCCCCCAGAGGAGGAGCAGCACATCACACTTTTTAAAGCCCTGATCCAGAACAAAAAAAAAGTCTCACAAACTAAAGTGTATGACGTTTGAAGGTTGTAAAGAAATGATGTTTCCTCATAATGTCTCTCTCTCTCTCTCTCTCTCTCACACACACACACACAGGGAGCAGCCCTCAGAACATGCACCTCTATTTTACGACCTTCTACCACAGTGCCATGCAATTTCTCCCGGGCTTTGTCGGCGTCCACACTGTGCTCAAACGTTACGAATCCAAAACCCTGCAAGCAGCATGAAGAGAGGAAGGAAACACGTGCACGTTACTGTCAGAGTACAAGAGCACAGCACGTTCAGCTTCTACCTAACATGCACAGTGGTGTCGCGGCCTGAAACAGACAGAGAGGCAAAGGCACAAAGTCAAACTCCACGTTTGCAGCCGCGCCGACGGAGACGCCGCGTCCGAAGAAATTCACACGGTACACGACTCGCCGAGTAGAACGCGACGCAGCGTCGCTGTCCTCTTTAAATTTGCCCAAACAAATTTTTTCAACTTTGTTGTGGTCTCTGGGTCAGAGGTCACCGTGTCAAGCATCGTGACATCGAGATTCTAACGCCAACAGAAGTGAAAGATTGGAGTAAAATGATTGACAGCTGTCAGGACGCTGTGACGAATCACGGAGAAATAGAAAAGTTGAAGAAACTTTTCTCCTGTTTCCTGAGGGATTTTCCTTGGATTTATGATCTGGGAGGAACTTTCGGTGACTTCGGTACATCCGTCTACTGTAGTACTGTACTGTACTGTACTGTACTGTACTGTACTGTACGGTACTGTACTGTACTGTACTGTACTGTAGTACTGCATATTCTACAACCGGTACTACTACAGTTACGGTACGTGCGCTCTACGTGTCTTCGACATGATCCGGCTGATACAGGAGGAAACAATAAAATGAAGTCAGGGAGACGGCGCTGACCTTTGACCCCCGCTCGTTGAAGATGATTTCGACGTCTAGGATTTTGCCAAATTGCTGCAGAAAAGACAAAAAGACAAGAGGGGAAAAATAGTTAGAAGAAACGTTGAACGGTGCAGCCGACTGTGTTCACTGTAGTACTGTAGTACTGCAGTACTGCAGTACTGTAGTACTTACTCCAAACATTTGTCTGAGGTCCGGGTCTCTGAACCTGAAGGGGATGTTGGAGACGTGGAGTCTTTTGGGCTGGACCTTGGCTTCCGTGCTGTCAGGTGGAGTGTGGACGGAAGACTGACTGTCTGTGTGGAGCACGGAGTCGTCTGTCTGCTGGAGCACACACACACACACACACACACACACACACACACACACACACAAATATATCTTGGTCATGTTCAATTAAATATTTGTACTTTATTCATGTGTTTTTGTGTTAAATGTGTAAATATTGTTTACATTTAAAACTTTAGAAATGCATTTTTGTTTTCAGGAAAAACACGGCACTGGTGACTTTATGAACCTTTTAAATAAATATTATATATTATAAAATATAAATTTTATAATATATATATAATATATATATATTATAAATATATATTTATATATATTAAATATATATATAAATATACAAACAGCTGTCAAATAATAACTAATGTTAAATAAATAATGTGGTATACTGTAGTATATGCACTGAAGTTTAATAGCAACAATACACAAGATTCTATTCCTGTCTATATCTATATCTATAGAATCACGTTGTGTGACGTGAACAGACTTACCAGCTTGTGTGTTCATCACTGGAGGCTTGACTGCGACTGTCCTCCTTGCAGTGCTGATGTGTCGTCTTTCTTGTGGCATGCACACTGTGGTGTGACACATACATTGTTTATTTCATTCTTTCAACACCCCCACCCCATATATAATATATATATTATAATATATACTTATATATTAATAATATATATGCTGTGAATGTTGTTAAACAACATCTGTGATTGACCTGATCACGACTGTTGTGATTGTTACTGTAGGTACAGTCAGAACAGTGATCCTTGTTGTTGTGGTGATTCAGACTGACGTCACGTCCGACATCACCAGGACCCACAGACCCTCGGTCCGGTCCCTGCGTCTGTCTGTGTCTGTCTGTGTCTGTCTGTGTCTGTCTGTGTCTGTCTGTGTTTCCTGAACACTCTGTCCTAAAATACAGGCTAAAACTGCTGCTGCGTCACGTGACCACGCTCTGCTCAGCGCTGTGTAAGAACTGGAGTTATTTTTAAATACGACTGTCAGAGCAGGGCGGAGGGGGGGGGGAGTGTACGACTGGGTTTGTTTCTTTTAATCAGACCTTCTCTCATTTCTGCCACGTTGATAAAAATAATGCAAAAACTCCAGCCTGCAGGTGGCAGTAATACACTCGGAGTTGATTTTCCAGTCAGAAAACACAGATGTAATAAGTTACTTTAAACTTTTTTGTTTGTTTACAGTGAGTACAACAGTACTCAACAAAAGTTACCGTTACAACAAAAGTTACTGTTAGCTACAACAGAGCTAGCATTAGCTACAACAGTCCTGGTACAGACACCAGAGCTAACGTTAGCTACAACAGTCCTGGCACAGACACCAGAGCTAACGTTAGCTACAACAGTCCTGGCACAGACACCAGAGCTAACGTTAGCTACAACAGTCCCGGTACAGACACCAGAGCTAACGTTAGCTACAACAGTCCTGGTACAGAGACCAGAGCTAACGTTAGCTACAACAGTCCCAATAGACTTTTTTAATTGTTTTAACTTCACCTGAAAGTCTGAAACTCATTTATTTGCTAACCAACGTTTTTATTGACTTTTATTGAAGTCAAACATTGATATTTGATAGAAATGTGAATTTTCACAATAAATTTATTACAAATTCGTCACTAAATTGATTTCATATTCAATGTCGTCGCAGCTGAAGACAAACTTACTGTGGCTGTGCCGCTGACCGTCTGACAGCAGGAGTCCGACCCGCCCTGTTCGCTCAGGCTCTGCGAGGACTCGTACATGCTGAGCGGACGGTCACAGACGGAGGTCTGGACCCCGGTGTAGTCTTGTGGGGCGGCAGCAGGACGGTGCTGCGGATGTGGACGGGAGTGTGGAAGTTGGTGCGGGTGGGAAGCTGTGAACTCGGCTGGAATGTTGTTCTGAGGAGTGGGAGCGAACTGGGCCGATGGGTAAGCCTGAGCCATGGACGGGTCCGAGGGCGCCGGTGAGTCCTGGTTACCCTGCTGGAACAGAGACAAGCAATTTTATTTCATACCATCTGAGTTTACCAGTATCCTGGAATTCTGGTATGCTGAAGTGTCAGGTCAAAAAAACAAAAAAAAACCATCGACAGAGACAGAGACAGAGACAGTCTGTGAGTATTGGTTAATTTCCTGCTGTGGAGCGATAACCAAAGTTCAGAGACAGAAATATGTTCATGTGGAGAAGGGCACTCACCCACTCACCCACTCACCCACTCACTCACTCACCCATTCACACAGGGAGAGAAATCCTGGTCCTGTGTGTTTTCCATCATTTCTGTGTGTCTCAAAAACACAGCTGCTCTCCCCCCCTCTCTCTCCCCTCTCCCTCCCTCTCTCCCTCCCTCTCTCTCTCGCCCCTCTCTCTCTTCGTGGTTTCATCTCCCAGTCTGTGCCGCTCACTTCTCTCCCTCTGGAAACACCACAGTATTTAATAACGACATGAAAAAAAAAAGAAAAAAAGAAAAGAACAGAACGAAGGAACGAATGATTCTCCAGGAGAAATCAACACTTTCAGTCCTTCTGCTCCAGCAGGGGTCAGACTGGGACAACGTTTACACACACACACACACACACACACACACACCTGCTCTGCTCTTTAACTCCTGCCGTCCTCCATGTACAGCTGTGAAGTCCAAACATCAACTACATATGGCTGTGTGTGTGGAGGAGGAGGGGGAGGAGGGGGAGGGGGGGGAGGGGGAGGAGGA